GACCTGTAGAGACACTTCTCCAAAGAGGACAAACACGTGGCCAATATACATATGGAAAGATGCACAATGTCACTAATAATCAGAGAAATGCAAATTGAAACAATGAGATATCACTTTACACCTGTCTGAACACTATCATCAATAAATCAACAAACAATAAGTGCTGGCAAGACTGTGGAGAAAAGGGAACGCTCATATATGGTTGGAAAGAATGCAGATTGGTGCAGCCACTATGGAAAACAGTATGAAGGTTTCTCAAAAAATTAAAAGTGGAACTTTGTTATAACCCAGTGATTCCACTTCTGGGTATATATCTGAGTAAATAAAAAACACTAATTTGAAAGGATAGATGCACCCCTGTGTTAACTGCAGTGTTTATTTACAATAGCCAAGATATGGAAGCAACCCAAGTGCCCATCAGTATAGAAGGGATAAAATCGTGGTACATACGTAGGATGAAATATTTCCTGGCCATGAAAAGAATGAAATCTTACCATTTGTGACAGCATGAAAGGGCCTAAAGATTATTAAGGTAAATAAAATAAATCAGTCAGAGAAAGACAAATACCATATGATTTCACATGTACATGGAATATAAAGAAGAAAATAAATTAACACACAGAATTGGAGGAGACTCACAGATATAGAGAACAGGCTGATAGTTGCCAGAGCAGAACGGGGTAGGGAGACTAGGTGAAAAAGGTGAAAAAATTAAGAAGTACAAATTGTTATTTACAAAACAGTCCCAGGGATGTCAAGTACAGCATAGGGAATACAGTCAATAATATAGCAATAAATATGTATGGTGCCTGGTGCATACAGGAAACATTGTGGGGAACACTATGTGAAGTGTATGATAGTCTGACCACTGAGCAATATACCTGAAACTAATATAAAATGATATTGAATGTAAAATTTAATAAAAAAAGACATTTATTCTAAACAAAGGATTATGAATCTGCACTATTGGGGGTTTTCTTTTTCCTTTTTGAAGTCCTGAAACTCTTTTCTATCCTGTAAGAAAATAAACCTGAACCACTGGTCTGAGACATATGTAGCTTTGAATCCTAGCCCCATCATGTGTGAACTTGACACATTAACATTTCTGAGCCTGTTTCCTCAGTGAGACAATACAGACAACTATTGGAACCTGCATAGTAAAGCACAGCACCAAATACATCCTGGGTATTTAGCAATAGCAGCTATTATGATGGTGGCTCATTATTCAACAATGTTAAAGAGTCTTCTAAGAACCAAGCACTATTTAAGGCACAGAGAATACAGCCAACTTCATGGAACCCCCGGCTTCCTGGAGACTATAGTCTTTTTGCGGGTAGTTTTTATTGTGCGCTAACAGGTGGCGCGGGCCATTTTTGCTAATTTTTTGCGCAAATGGCAACGTTCAGTAAAATTACGATAACTTTAGTTTCTGTATTTACATGTTACCCGCATTCTACCGCTAGTCTATAAAAAACGTATTAATACGTGTCCTGCGCTCTACTACACTGGTAGATCGTATAAATACGTAAAACGTATAAATACGTTTCCCGCATACAATGTGTTAAATTGTTGGTATTCAGGTTGCCTGGAGCTGGTGGGGATGAACAGGAGATGTTTCAAGATCATGGGTTATCCCCTCGCCTTCATTATGTTTATTGACAAAGTGCTCTAATAAGACCACATAATCCCAAATTCTCTCACCTTTTAACCTCAAAAAAGTGATTTTTCTCCTGAATAGAAACCCTTAAGGCTGGAGAGGAACATGCAGCTGTGGGTGGAACAGCAGGTTACTATCTTGGTGTGGAGTGGTGGTTATTGTTGCTGTAGTTGTTTTCTAACCATCTTGCCTACTTGTGATTAAGATGATAATGTTATACCACTGCTGACGTTCTGCTTTGAAAAAATAATGTAAATAGATATTTTCAGCACCTGTACCATTTTTATAAGTAAGAAATTACCTTCTCACACCTGTAAGCTTGGTAGGGCAATAGAGTCAAAGCTGTTTCCTTTTATGTTTTTACTAGTGACCCGGTGCACGAAATCTGTGCACATTAAAAGGGAATTAATTAGAGAGTCAAGTCCCCCCACACCTGTGCAGGCCTCACACTTGAGATCCAGACCCAGCTGGCCCCACCCCCACTGGGCAAGACCCAGACCCAGTCGGCTGCACACCCATCAAGCCTGCACACCTCCTCCCCTCCCCACCACGGTGTCACATCAGCACTGGGTGGGGATGCATGCAGACTGCATCACGTCTCAGGCCAGGGACCACACAGGTAGCGTCATGTCCCTGGCCCAGGACACAGGTAGACAGCTTTACCTCAGCGCTGGTGGGGACGCACATAGGCAGCATGACATTAGTGCTGGGCAGGCCTGCACATGCCTCAGCTGGGGGCAGAAGTCCCCACCCCCATCCCCGCCCACCAGCTCCTGCCTGCAAGTGCCTCTGTTGGGAGCGCCTCCACCTCCAAGGCAACCTGATGTTAGCGCTGGGCAGGCCTGCACGCACAGGTCATGACTGGGACACCGTTGAAAGCTAAGTGTGCAAAGAAATGGAAAGTGTATGTCCCTGGCAAGTAAGAAAAGCAGGGATTTAAATGCATAATTTCCAAAAGGAAGTTTCACTCATCTCATTATAACTGACTGAAATTATATGGAATTTTATTTAGTAAACATAGGTCTTCAATTACTGGATAAGTATGGGGTTAAATATTACATGTATATAAATTAGAGTAAATTAAACAAGGGAAGGTTTGATATTTAATGCCCTTCTATTGTTAACTGTTTTTTAATAAATAAAAGCATGTTGTTTGTCTTTTTTATGTAAATTCAGTTACATATGTATTAACATTTTGAGATTCAAAATTATATTTCTAAAAATACAAAATAGGAGGAGAAAACCCTCATATGTTAAATGTAATATTCCCTGAGTTGTGTTATTCTGTGTTTTAAATATCTTTATGTTGTTATGTATTTTCCAAGGTCATATCCCAACAATGTGCATTCATAATCTTTATAGTGAGAAAAAGATCATAGAAAGAAAAGTAATATCTGTATAAATTATTAACATATTAAATTCCAACCAAATAACAGTTCCTTTTCAAAGGTTAGAATCCTAAGGTTTATTCATTTTTCATTTAAAAAGGAAGATTAGGAGGGGCTTGAGGGAGTTAAAGATAACCTGCCACCAAACAGACTTTCCTTTGTAATAATTAAAAATGCTAAAATAGAATTGAAAAGGGAATTACATTATGAAAGCGTGAATCTTTACTAATCTTGAAGCCCTTGCTACTTATAAACATGTCCTATGTTATGTGGCCCATGCTCTGGGACCACTGATCTAAACCAACTGCAGCAGATGGCGAGTCCTAGTGCCTCCTAGAAGATGTGCAGAATTGCAGAGTTCACAGTTTTGTTCATAATTCCTTACAACACTTACCCAGTTGAAGATATATCCCGAAAAAATCCCAGTCCAACTTTATACTGTTGTCTCCGCACAGTCATGAATCACATTCCCTTTTACACTCCAATGTGTCCTGGTTTAGGACAAATCCACTCTGTAGTGACCAGGTGGATCGTTCACCTGTTCACCACTTTCTGAGCACCCACTCTGGACCTGGCTCTGTAACAATAACTGGAAATAAAAAGGTGAGTGAGGTAGTTCCCAGCCCCTGAGGACTCAGGAATGGAAGATCAGGGCAAGGAGGGGAAGGGGAACCACTTAATGACAACAAAAGTGATGAGAGTCCCACAGAGGTCTATGCCATGTGCTGCTGGGATCACAGGGGAGGAGGGCAGATGAATCAGAGGAACACCAGGCTCCTCAGGGAAAGGGGCAAGCAGATCAGCTCATCAGTGATGTCAGACAACAATCAGTTCCACAGAGGCAGGTAGGTCTTTCCCTTTTACAACAATGGATTCATTTGCGTTTCTAGGTGTCAGGGAACTGGTGTGGTAAGGATTAAAGTGGGGAAAACACATCACAGTTTCTGGCTCTTATTTCTTCAGTGGTTATAGCAAAAGATGCTCTACCTGGGGAATCTTGAAATAGGTAGAGACAGATAATGTTTGCAGAGCCCCAGCCAGTTTGGCTCAGTGGATAGAGTGTCGGCCTGCAGATTGAAGTGTCTAGTGGTGTGCAGGAGGCAGCTGATCAATGATTATCATCACTGATGTTTCAATCTCCTTCCCTCTCCCTTCCACTCTGAAATCAATAAAAATGTTTTTTTAAATGTTTGCAGAGGAAGAATATTCTCCACAAATTACTACTTTTAAAACATAAATCAGATCATATCACTCCCTTGCTTAAAACCCTTCATGGGTTGCTCACTGTTCTCAGAACAAAAGCACACTCCTCCACGGCCCACAAGCTCTGCCCTTCATCTGCAGCCACAACTCCTGCTGTTCTCACACCAGCTCACTATGCTTTGACCACCTTGAAAAATGTCAAGTTCTTTCCCACTTGAGCTCTTTTCTTCAGTTCTGCTGTCCCCTCTGCCTGGAGCACTGTTCCCCCAGTAATGTAAAAGTCTGACTTATAGACAGGTAAAGCCCACCTGATAATGACTCTAGCACAGGGGGAAGTGAGCAAAGCCAAGAGGTCAGGAGAGGTGACTCCTGCTGAGGTCACAGAGCACCCAGGCCATCAGCTGCATGAGAAAGGAGACCTCTGCCTGCTTCGCCCACTGCTGTGCCCAGGTGCCTGGAACCCACGCTGCATGCTGGGCTCTGGCTTTTTCCCTGCGGAACCACACTTGTTCTGTTGGAGTTCCCCTGATAAAGTCCCAGTACTGCATCACTGCATGCTTCTCCAACTGCAGGATGCACAGCCCCAGTTCTGTGCAGAGGAAGGAAAACAGAGTACCCAATACATCTTTCTGGAACATCAAGTTTATTATAAAACTTGAGAGAACCAAATACTTTACTTAATAAGCAGCTCACAAACATGGGAGCAAAGGAGCAGGGGAGGGAAGGGACCCAGGAAAAAGTCCAGTCTCTGGTCTCATTCAGGTGGGGGCTGAGGGATGGACCCACAGTGAGGGAAGTCTCTCCTCTTGACCTCTGGGAGCTGCAAGCAGTCCTACAAGCTCCGCAGGCATTTGGATAAGATGCTTCTGAAGACCACGGCGCTGCTGGATACCCTCCTGATGTGGATCCCGTGCAGAGAATGCCTCGGCAGTTTGCACACCTCCATCATCCACTGGACCAAGTCCTCGCATCTTGCACACACAGTGTGTACTTCTGGCACCGCTCTCATCCGCAGCTGTTTGCCTCCAACCTCTGGTTCATTTCCCATACCACTGACCGGCCTTTCTGGAGCTCCGCACCTTCAAGTTGACTGTGGCCCTGCTTGACCGTCCACAACTTAAAAAATCATGTTGGTTTGACTTTTGTCCTTTTGAGATGTTTCTTCTTAGTGGATGACCCACAGCAGGTGAATCTTAAAAGAAACTGGAAGGCCCTCCTAGCCACCCCCTTCTGGCCTTGGATAGGGCCAGAGGAATAGGCTGGGGTGCCACCCTCAGGCTGCTCAGCTTTAAGGCAGCTTTCATGGGCGGCTCCCACTGGGGCTCCCCCATCGCTGGTGCTGGTGCTGGTGCTGGTGCTGCTCTGGATGGTGGGGGAGCCTGCAGGGCCAAGCTGGAGGTCTGCCCTGGGGGTGTCTGTCCTGAACTCTGGGCGAGTGGTGGTCATGGTTTCCAGGTTGGGTGGTGGAGTGGTGGTCATGGTTTCCAGGTTGGGTGGTGGAGTGGTCACCCTAAACCACAGGCAGTTTGGGGGAATGAAAGGCTCTTTGGTCTTGCCATCAAATGGCTGACCAACCTCTTGGCTTGTGGACATGCTACTGGTGCCAGGGGAACGGTAGGGCCTTACCCTGATTTTGCGGCCTGGCATCTTGGTTTTCATCATTATAAGGATCAGGTATGTGCCCATTGCTCTGTCAAATTTTCTTTGTGTTACTGACTCCTGGATGTCATCCTGCTTAAAGCCGAGGCTCTGCATGATTTCTATTACCTGTGGGTGCAACTCACCCCAGGGCGGCTCGCTGTATGGCCTCAGCTGCTCCTCCTCACCCTTGTTGAGCCAGGGGTCCTTCATTACATCTTCCAGGGTCGGCCTTTGGCTAGGGTTGACAGTGAGTAATTTTCTTAAAAGTTTTTGAACCTCCCTTGACATAAAGTGTGGTACATAGAAATGTCCACTTACTATCTGCCTCTTCACGTTCACAAAGTTGTCCCCCTCAAACGGTGCCACCCCTGTCAGCATCCTGTACAAGACTACCCCCAGGCTCCATACATCAGTTTTGCGGCCATCATAGGTATGACGCTGCAAGATCTCTGGGGCCGAATAGCAGATGGTGCCACAGAAGGTGTTCTGTTTATTGTCGCTCACTTCCCTACTAAAACCGAAGTCTGCTAATTTAACGGTCATATCACCATCTATGAGAATGTTGTCTGGTTTCAGGTCCCTGTGGATGATGCCCCTCTGGTGGCAGTACTGGACCGCAGATACTACCTGGCGGAACACGGCGCGGGCTTCTCCCTCGTTCATGTGGCCATACTTCTCCAAGTGTTCAAGTAAGTCCCCTCCACTCACATGCTCCATAATAAGAAAAAACTTGTCCTGGGTGGCAATCACCTCAAATAATTGTGTGATATTTGGGTGATTTAAGCTCTTAAAACAATGGACTTCTTGAAAAAATCTAGAGATGCCCTCCCTTTTAATGGCTTTTACAACCACCTGTGCCCCGGTCAGCAAATGCTGGGCCACCCGCACCTCGGCATAGCATCCCTTGCCGATGGTGTGCAGGAGGAGGTAATCGCCAATACAGCGCTCCTTGACAGTGGAGTGGGCTGCAAAGGCATTAAACATGGCACCTTCAAAATAAAAATAAATAAATAAAATTAAAAAATTAAAATTAAAAAATTAAAAAAAGGAAAATAAATAGAAAAAATAAAAATAAAAAAGTAAAATAAAATTGAAAAAATAAAATAAATAGAAAATAAAAGAAAAATGGAAAAAAAAATTAACAAAATGGAGGGGGAAAAAAAGGCCAAAACAAGCTAAGGAGTCCAAGTCCAACAGGTCACCACAAATCAGCTTCCTGGGCTATAACGGACAAAAACCTCAGCCTGGTCAGGGTCTTATATAGGAGTGGTTTGCAATTTCATCACAGTGGCACCTTATGAGGCCAGAGCAAGAAATGGACCAATCATAGCTGGGTGTGGTTTGCAGGTTCATCACAATGGCTCTTTATGAGGTCAGATCAAGAAATAGACCAATCACAGCTAGGGTGTGGTTTGGAATTCCATCACAATGGCACCTTATGAGTCAGACCAAGAAATGGGCCAATCAGGGCTGGGGATAAACCACAGTGGTTTTCTAAGTTTTTGGTCTCATGACCCTTATACTCTGGGAAAAACAAAAAGACAACCCCAGAGAGTTTTGTTTATGTGGGATTTAAATATTGATATTTACTTTATTAGAAATGAGAATCTGTAAGATGCAAGTGCACAAACACACACAAAGGAAAAGTCTGACTGATTCTCATGCTCCAGGCCTCAGTTCAGATGTCACCTGTTTAGAGAGGCTGCCCCTGATCCATCCATTCCTACCTGCCTCACCCAGCTGGTCAGGTTTGTCGTCTTCATAGCACTGACCACAGTGTGGCTGATTCTTGTTTACTCTCAGTCCTTCCCATGAAGGGAGGAGCATGACTGTAGTGTTCCCTGTGTCTAGCACAGTGAGTGGCAACAAAACAAGTATTTAATACATAGAAAATTTGGGAGTAACAAAATAAAATATTTCCAACTACTTATTTAATTAAAGTGATTTAATTAACGTGATTCATAAAAAATATCTGTAAGAAATTCATGTTCTGTCCCCACTTAGCTTTTGGGGCAGGTAAGATAGGATAGAGGAGGGCTGAAGTCTGGGTTTCCAGGTATGTGGGCGCTCAGTGAGGCTGAGGAAAGGCCAACAGGTAGGAGCCTTGCTGTCAAGATTAAAGGAAAGGATTCATCCCTCCAGTGGTACTTGGATGCAATGAATTTGGATCTACAATGAGATTGCAACGTATTTCTATACTTTGAATATTCATTGACAGATTACATAGAGGACTTCTGACCTCGAGCAGGCCACTTAGGTAAATTTCTGTGCTACTTAAATGAACCATCTCTGTGGAAAAAAACAATGAGGCTTGTTAATTTACATTTGTAAATATACTGAAATCTCTGGATGAAATAATCTCTGCAGGGGTGCAAAGGGTGAGGTAATATGTTGGGGAAAATTGTACCCTTTATGGAGGCAGAGAGGGAGAGGCAGGCTTGAGGGCATAGGAAGAACCTCTGGCACATTATGTTTCCAACCCATCTTTGAAGAAAGGTCCCTACTTTCAGTACATGGAGTGTTTTAATCACATGTATAAGTAATTACTCTAGTGATTACTTCAACATTTACCTCCTAAAGTCTCAATTTGTGTAAAGGGAATCTTTAGAAGGATTACCCTGTGACTTTTCCCTTTACAACACTTTAGTTTGTTACCTTTACCTACATCAGTGAGACTCAGCTCCTAAGCATGACAGTCCCTGTTGCTGAGCTGATTTGGACGCAAAGGGGGTTACCTCATCAATTCTATTCAGATGTTTACAAGTTCCAGTAACAGATTAAATAATCTCAGAAAGGAAAAAAGAGAGAAATTCTAAGAAAGCTGTCAGTCTAAGACTTACTAGTAATTATATCCAACTAGAGGCCCCGTGCACAAATTCATGCATGGGTGGGGTCCGGCCAGCCCACCCCAATGGGGACGATCGGGGCGGGCTGGCCAGGGGAAGGGGCTGCGGGCAGTTGAACTCCTGGTTGAGGGGACAATTTGCATATTAGCCTTTTATTATATAGGATTATAAGAATGGCATTAATAGTTACTTAGAAATAATTCCAACAAAATAGAACACTTTCTGAGCTCTTTCAGCTAAGTAGATACAGACTCAAAGATAAGACATTTAATGTAAAACTGTCAAGGCAAAAGCCAAGCTCTGGATAAATCTAACTTGAGGTCTCCTCCAGGGTTGGGTGTTCAATCAGGTGAATGAGATACAATTTGGGGGCCTTTTAAGATTAAAAACATAAATTCATGGATCAGTACTTTTTAACCTTGCAACTTAGGGTTTGGGTAGCCATATCTGCCATCGTCCACTCCAGCTACGCTGGAGGGAGTCCTTGTGGAGATGTTTATTTCATCACCATTTATCCTCTCCGTGCCCTCTACCCATCCAAAGTTTTGGGTGACCATATGATCATTTCTGAGTATTCGGAGCATTATACTCCCGGAGACACAGTGATTGTTTCAAGAATCAACATGGAAGCTAGTAAGAGCCAAGGAGACGGACAGAAATGTGTGCTTATGCTTTGACCTGTGAGCATGTATGCCTGGCACTGCTCTCAGTCATCTTGCTACCACCAGGAGCCTGTAAGGGAAGCATGTGAATGCTCTGAGTCGAGGATGACACCATTTGAAATCCTGAATCCAGACACAGAAACACGCCTGCATTTTTTAGTGAAGTGACCCAGTACATTTCTATTTTTGCTTGAACCATTTAATTTTGTCTTTTACAACCAAAAAGGTCCTAACAAGGTCTAGGTGAGCTAGAGAACTGATTTATCTGCCAGCAGATGAGCAGTGACCAAGCTTCCTGGCTTAAAGCTGCCTGCATTACTGATTTAGCAATTGTCTGCAATGCATGAGAGGTTAGATGCACCTTTCCTCAAGGCTTCGCTTTTGAGATTTACAATTGAATTGGGCTAAAATAGAACATTTAGCTATTCAAGCTGGCAGCAGAGACACTTGGTTTGATGCAGCTAGTGGTGCCAATATCAGAATTAATATAATGGCTCCATGTCAAAACAATAACAGGACAAATCACCTGGAAGGGCAATTCAAATACTTAGGCCTTACTGCCACTGGCAAATGGAGCACTGAGTGCCCCCTTGCCTGTCTTAAACTGGCAGCTTTTTTGAATTTTTGTGTTAGAGGCAGGTTCTGGTGAAGCTAGCTTCCAACCCACTAAGGTTTAGAAATGGCTGTGGGAAATCATTGCTGTCTTAATGGCAAAAATGCTCTTGTAATGGTTTTCTAAGAGGTAAGGGAAGCACAATGAAGCTTTTGGGTATTGGCATAAGATGTAGGCCTGTTTGGGAGGGCGCTGTGAGAGCCAATTAGGAAAAGGGGCGCTTCATTTTATCCATTTCTACCTTCAGTTAGTATACTTACTCAACATTCTAAGTGTAAGGCACAAGGGGCAGGGGGTGGGGAGGGATGGTTTAACAGTTGTCTGTGGAGATGCATCTCTGCTCACATGAAGTCCAGGAGAAGGACAGATAACAAACATAAACGAATGAGTAAAAAGATAATGTAATATAGGTAACATAGGAAAACGGAGTTCTGAGATAAAGAATTACAGGGAGAGGAATCTGCTGTGATGGAAGGTCTACCTGATGGAGTAACACTGGAGCTGAGACCTGGAGGTAAGAATGCGCCAGGTGTATAAGGGGTGCAGGACAAGCATCCTAGCCAGAGGCTGGGGTGAGACAAAGGGTGAGGGCCATTCAAAGGCCTAAAAGAAATCCAGGCTGGCTGTAGCATAGTGACAGAGGGAGAGCAAAAGAAGAGGTTGCGAGATAATAAATAAAATCAGAAATGAAAGAGGAGAAGTAATAACTGACACCAAAGAAATACAAAGGATTGTAAGAAAATATTTTGAACAACTATATGCCAATAAAATCTGGAAGACATGGCTAAATTCCTAGAAGCTTAAACCCTCCACAACTAAATCAGGACAAAGCAGATAATCTGAATAGATAGATTACAACCACTGAAATTGAAGTAATAATAACCAAAGAAACAAAAAACTTCCAACAAATTAAAGCCCTGGACACCCTCGCCGGTTTGGCTCAGTGGACAGAGCCTTGGCCTGCGGATTGAAGGGTCCCAGTTTTGATTTCGGCCAAGGGCACATGCCTGAGTTGTGGGCTCGATCCCCAGTAGGGGGCATGCAGGGGGCAGCATATCAATGATTCTCTCTCATCATTGATGTTTCTATCTCTCTCTCCCTCTCCCTTCCTCTCTGAAATCAATAAAGAAACATATTAAAAAAAATAAAAAGCCCTGGACCAAATGGCTTTACCAAACATTCAAATAAGAACTAATACCTATCCTCCTCAAATTTTCCAAAATAATTCAAGAGGAGGGAAGACTCCTAAGCTCATTTTATGAGGCCAGCATGATCCTAATTCCAAAACCAGATAAAGACACTACAAAAAATAAAATTATAGGCCAATGTCCCTGAGGAACATAGATGCTGAAATCCTAAACAAAATATTAGCAAACCAAATCCAGCAATACATTAAAAAGATCAGACACTATGATCAAGTGTGACTTATTCTGGGAATAAAGATTGGTACAATAAATGTGATACACCATATAAATAAACTGAAGGACAAAAACCATATAATCATATCAATAGATGCAGGAAAAAAGCATTTTATGAAACCCAGCACCCATTTATTATAAAAATTCTCAGCAAGGTGGGGATAGAAGGAACATACAATGTAATAATAGGCATCTATCTTCTATAATAATAAAAGCATAATATGCAAATCAGCCAAACAGCAGAACGACCATCCGGATAACCATGCTATGACACGCACTGGCACAAGGCCAGCCGAGATGGGTGAGTTGCGATTGGTTGGGGGGCTATCATCGCCCACGATCGCCCCACAGAGGGAGGCTAGGCCACCCACTGTGGGGTGATCAGAGGGCTCCAGGGAACCGGGGATGTGTGGCAGCAGATGTGGGCAGTGCCAGGCCAAGGCGA